CGGGACAGCCTTTTGAGCACTGGGAATTACGCATTTTGGTTTCGATTGTGATGAAATTTCTTTTTTCCACTCATGGATTGATGAATTAAATGTAAGTCAAAGGAAGAACAATATTTTGATTTGCTGGTTTTTATTTTGCCTGCACTTTTGCATGTGGTCCTTAACTTTTTGTGAAGACTGTATGACGAAAGCATGCGTATGAGTGAAGCATGCCTTTGTATTGCCTGCGTTTAGGTGGAGACTATAACTGCAGGACCTACCAGAAAAACCTTCAAACTACCCACGTGGCTGTATGTGATTGTCTTTTTTTAAAGTTTGTTTTAGTAGAGGTTTTACGGCGCTCGCAACTGCATAAGGTCATATGAGCGCCAAGGGATGGACATAAACAGAAAAGTCCTTACAGTTACAGGGAATCAGTAGTCAGTATCAAGCCGGTCCCAGAGTAGCTCTGTAGGTCTGACCTGTACAAGTAGCTCGCAAAGCGCACGCCGTCTGCGTGTCAGCACAGCCGCACTGTGCATAATCCAACGGGGACAGACTAGGTCAACCTCTCGATTCGAAATTTTAATATAGGATAAGGTGCATTTCTTGGGATTTTGTGGTCAAGTGTTGATGCTAATATCAATATCTAACAGTAAAGCACCTAATAATACTTACTTCTTGCTGATTTTGATGATCTGTGAAGAATTTCAGTCGAAAATAAACACGAAGCGAGGTTGCGTGCGACACATGTCCGACGTGTTTTACAACACTGTTGAATACTCAGAATAGCACGTCTGACTCGTCGAGCAGCTCAGTGGACAACAGACAGACCATACAGCGACGCTGCCCAGGCACACGATGATGTATACGTTCATTTGCACAGTGTGAGCTTAAGGTCAGACATACAGAGCCACTTTGGGACCGGCCTTACTCTGCTCACCTCTCTAGCTTCAACAGTATAAAGTCTGCTTCGACTATCAAGGCACCCCGGATCCTTCCTACCAGACGATCAGGGGTGTGGCTGAAAGACAGCAGTGAGATCGTGAAGGAGCTAAGGAGTAGCCGTAGAAAGGCTGTAGAAAGAGTCAGAAGCCCAGAGGAGGGGGCCCTGTTGTATAGCCTCGACTGCCCAACGCATTTTTAAGCATGATTCTGTTGTCCAATCTGTGTTTGAAAAGTGTCTTTTTGTTGGTGATATACAGTGGAAACCATATATATATATATATATAACAGGCCCGGTAATAACAGGGATTTTCTAAATCCCAGTCTTTTCTTACTCTTTGTCTCTATTAAAAGTTAGGGTCCCTAAAAGTTATCGGCAATAACAGGGCCTCATCGGAGCCCAATCGGTTATAAGCAGGGACAAAGGCTCGTTAACAATGTGTAAAAAGTAAGAGAGAGAGAGAGAGAGAGAGAGAGAGGGAGAGAGAGAGAGAGAGAGAGAGAGAGAGAGAGAGAGAGAGAGAGAGAGAGCAAGCCCACGCAGCGGGGGAAGTGAGGGAGGGCTGTAGTGTGCTGCAGACTTCGATCTAGCCCACAGAATTCTACACTTAGTGTAGAATTCTGTGTTCTAGCCCTAAGCCTAGCTCCAAGCGCGCGTGGCCTGCCACATGACCAAAACCCTTGTTCGTAGGTACTTCTAGCAAGTGAAACGTTCCATTAATAAATACAGCTGAATGTGTCCACAAATCCTCACTTCCTTACTTCCCTTGCATTTCTGATTTAACAGGGATCTGATATAACAAGACTTTTTCTATGGTCCCATCATCCCTGTTATATCTGTCCCCGTCGTTTTATGCAACGAAAATTCTGAAATTATTCAAATTGAGCACAAAAAAAAGTGAAATTATGCGATTCTGTTAATTTCAACAAAGAATGATAAAGGAAAATTATAAACAAATTATGCAAAAAATGATCAAATTTAGTTTAGTTATGCGGGGTGCATAAAACCACGCGGACAGTTATATCGGGTTTCCACTGTACATGTACATAGTAAGTACATGTACATAGTAAGTAATGGAGTAGCCAACCAATGGGTGTTGTGCGCCGTGTGCAATTGTACCCCTTGCGGTATGGCGGGGCGGTACAATGAGGTTTGACTGGATACGTATTACTCAAGAACTTTTAAAGGCAATGAAAAAGATTCATAAATAAATATCGAATGGTCCCTTGGCTACAACAGAATCGCCGGGACTGACGTAATGTCTCTCTAAAGTTAGAGCTGAATGATGACTCCCGTTATGAAAGGGCATCACATGATACACTGTTACTGTAACTAATACTAATAAATAGTACAGTGGAGTCCACTTATAACGAGTCCGGGAAAAAAGAGAAGTCTGTTATAAAGACATTATTCTAAAACCCCGTTTTTTTGTCTTCTTTACCTTTGTAATTAAAATACTGCTATAGCGCAATCAGACAAACATGCGAGTCGGTTATAGCGGAATATTGCTGCTGCTGTGCACAGTGCATAGGCCAATTATACATAATTAAAAAACCTCGCCAGTTGAGAAACTTGTTGGTGATCTAGCGAAACAAAGAAAGGAGAGCCAATGTGTGTCAACAATGAAGGCCAGAGCGACTGAGTAGGGAGGGTGTGGCATGCGCAGAGAAGCAGAACGCCTTGCGTGATAGGCCAGTGTAAGCCTAGTTTAGATCATCAAGGCCAGCCATGCCTCTCACTTCTCCGATGCGGGGATGGAGAGGTCACAGCAATGTGATGGATGGAGCGAATGTGTGACGTGCGCAAGCTGACGGAATGCACCACAGGGTGTGGTGGGGTGGGGGAAAACACAGTGGGCGAGTTAGCCGAGAGCTCTTTCTTTCTGATCGCCAACGCTGAGCTGTCAGTCAACATCGCTAGATCTAGCGCTAGAGAAAGAAACCTGATTCGATGTTTGATCAAGTAAGACCCAAAGGTCATGTTGAAACCAAATCATCATCAGGGGAGATATCAAAAGGATATAAACAGAACCGCAAAATCATAGGTTTGGCCTATTTTAGTTTCCCTTGAATTTATTACTGGATCCCTATAGCGAGAATCCTGCTATAACATTTTGCTCCGATCCTCTCCCTCTCGTTATAACAGGATTCCACTGTATAACTAATGGGACCGTTTTTATTACGGTACATAGATTACCCACTGCCACTACCAATTTATCATTTATTGCCACTTTCTTTTCCAGTTACATTCGCCCCCTCCTCATCTTCCATTTTCTTTCTACAGAGTACAAGTACCTTAGTCTCGTGGAAGTCCACTACGGCACACAAATAATGTTGCGCTTATTTAGCGCCCCCCGTGTTCTACAACAGGGTCTATGCGTTGTACAACTATGCGTAAGAGACCGTTCACAAATGACAATCATCAGCTAAAATTTGGCAAAAAATGACCCCGCCTCCCCCCTTGTCATCTTCCCCAGGATCACCCGCCCCCCTCCCCCAAGTAGACGTCAACTAAAAGTAAGGTACGTTTAGTCTAGATAGAACCTGTTCTAATCAGGTCAAAGCAGACTGTGTTGCGGGGAGACGGCTAATTTTAGTTTTTAGGCCAAAAAAATAATACGGTCCAATTTTAACTGTTAATTTTAGGCAAAGAAAATGGGATCTACATGTATTTTTTAATGTTTCTTCTTTTCTCTCTCCCCCCCCCCCCCAAAAAAAAAAGCAACAAAAACCAAACCAACAATGAGCATCATGGTTGACGTCAACTTTGTAAGGACCCCTCCCCTCTCACTCTCTCTCTGAGCTGACTTCTTTTGTGAACGGTCCCTAATCAAACAGCTGCCACAGTTGGGAAAACGAACAAAGTAGATCAAAAACCCAGTGCCTACTTTTCATTATGTTCCCATTACATAATAATACAACAAACAAAGTTCAAATGTTTCGTCACCCCACGGGGAGACGTGACGATGTGGTGGCAGAACAAGGTCACCCTAAGACACTTGAGTCACTGACTAGAAAATCTGGATCAACAGCCGTAGGGTGTAGTATCTTTGACCGAAGTGCATTCCCCTCCTCCATGCCCTGCATTCATGGTATGTATGACACAATATGTGTGAAATCTACACAACCAATTTAAACCGTTTGAGGATTAAGTGAGGTAGAATTCGCCATGGGTGCCGTTTTACTTTTTTAAAATATTTTTTTTTTTACTTCATTTGTTTTTAATGCTTTCTTGTCCATTCCATTCGATTTAGAATCTTTGTCAAAGGTTAGACCACGACAAGTATCATTATAGCCCAGCATGCCTATTCTGAATGCCTGGCTAGCGATTATTTCATTAAATTATATTTTTGTTTGTAAAGTTAAAGCGTTTCATGACGCTCGCAACTGCACAAGGTCACATGAGCGGGCGGGACACATTTTCAGTCGGTGGGAAATTTTGCCCGGGTGGCGGCAGAAGCCTACTCTTAATACTCTTATCGATTTTGGACCACTCAGGGATCTTTAGAAGCTCAACTTGCACACGAGACCTCTGACATTTTTCACCCATATTCGAGAAGACTATATGTGTAGATCGTAGATCTTACCTACCATAAGATCAGGGGTTGGGCGGAAAGCGGAAAGACAGCAGTAAGTAGTAAGGGGAAGAGGAGTAGTTGTAGAAAGGCTGCAGAAAGGGCCAGGAGCCCAGAGGTGCGGGCAAAGGAGGCAGCAAAAAGTGAAGAGGAAAGTAGACGACAGAACATTGAGAGAGCAGGAAAGGGGAACATAGAGAAGAAAACTTTCAGTCGCTATCCAGATTCGGACCTGGGACCTATCGAGAGGCAAACATCTTAATCTCTAGACCACGACAGCCCCATGCTATACAGTATACAATTTTTAAAAATTATACATTATGAAGAGATCAGGCTCCGGGATTTATCATAGCTAGCCAAAATCCAATTATTATTGAGACTGTTACATGTATTAGTTGGGCCCACTGTATCAATATCAAACACAGGTAGATCTAGGCCTAGATGTTCAAGAGAAAATACAAACACGACACAAAATAGATGTTGGAAGAAAAAACCCCCACAAAAAAGTTCATATTTACTTTATTGCCAACTTTTATTCCAAACAGCAACTGTGATGTGAACATAAAAAACAGACGGAGACGGCAATAACAACAGTACAACTTCTCCTATGATGTATTGCGCATGCTGTCTAATAAAAAAAATAAATAATAAAAACAAAAAAAACTGGACTTGCAGTTCAACCATCCAAACAATTAATTGAATAGAAAGTTCTCATCCAGCGCTTGTCATAATATTAAATATACTAAAAAAAAGGCCTGACATTTGGCATCATCCTTTCTCACTATCCCCGACCAAATGTATGAACAAGGGAAAACAGAAGAAAAATTAAAAATTTTCTCTTGACACAATGCCATGAGTTTTATTGTCAAACATACCTTGATTTCAAAGACTCCACTTAGTATACACATGTGTTGATCCCAACTGCATTTTACAAATTAAACAATGAAGCCGTGTCATATTCTATCACACAGACGTAGCAGATAATGAGTAGCATCCAAAATATTTGTCACCTTTGAAATATTGTATTTCATTAGTTGTCTTTTGATCTTTGCTTTCTGTGACGGAAAAAGCTTTTATGTATCGTACACAACAAGATCTTGAGGTATAGCTAATCAACTTGAACCCCATGTCCTGAACAGAATAAACAAAGTTTCTGCAGTTTATTTAATCAAAAATTAAAAAGATACAACAAATAAGTTGAATCAATTTTTCATGTTTAGTTAACTGAATTTCAAACAACCGAAAAAAGATGTAGTTCCTCTTCAGGACTTGAACCGACAAACTTTTCCCCTTATACCCCACTCAAGGTAGGTACTTACAAAAAGAAAATTATGGAATTATTCTTGCTGTCACATGATGTAGAATACTAAACTGCAACAACGTTAAAGTACACATTACGGTAATTAAAATACAAAAAGATTTATGGAAAAAAACAACAACTTCAGCCTATCCTGCAACCATCTGAAGCAGTCAACAAAGTGATAGAAATCTTATTTTCAAACAACTGTTTTGTAACTCAACTCGACAAACACCTGAAATATGTTTTTTTTAAATAACCTGTTGAGTCTTGGGCGTTTAAATAATGAAAACTGACCAAAACTGGTTTAATACAATCTTAGATCAACAAAAAACTATCTGACTGCAAGTTAATTTTGAGCATTCAGCTCTTTGTATTGCTACAACTACATATATGCTTGTAAAAGGAAAGCAAATATTTCAACAGAAGAAAAAAATATATCGCTTTTCAAAAGATGCAGAAAGCAATTCATCTATACTAGCAATTGGAAATTGCTACTGAAGTAGGATTTGCCGTGTGCGTAAAGAAACAGTTTTGCAAAGCCTCATCTATGTTTTGAAAATAAAGACCACAAACCAGTTCGACCACCTAAAAAAGACTGTAAAAGCTTTTCAGCCCGGCTGCGGATTTATGGTACTCCAGAATGTAAAAAACCCCCAAAAAACCAACTGCTAAAAGTCAAAAAGTGGTTATTTTCCACATCCAACACAAACAGCGACCAATAACTGAAATACCGCTCATTTTGAAACCCTCAGTACAATGAACAAATATCATGTGAGACAGCAAAGGTAAGCCTATATTTTTCAAATTTTTTTTTTATTACACTGCACGAACAAAGACAAGACTTTCTCAAAATCAGCTTTCCATCAAAAGTCCCTTGTACTTGTATACTACTAGTGATGTGGATTACTTACAAAACTACACTACCAGTTTTATTTCTAGGATGAAACAGTACCACACCACCTCATTAACTCCCCAGCACTTTGTTATCTGCGTAGCACCTACCTACCTGCCTTCCCAGACATCGGAAACACTCTATACAGCGACAAAGCACAGCTGATTAAAACCTGTCAATTCTTTGCCATATCGACAGACCGAAGGGCTAGAACCCAAATGGCCGCTGGATCGGAAAAGTAAAGTAAAGTAAGTTTTATTCCTATGAATGATTATTCTTCATTTTAAAAACACAAGATTACTATTAAATGTTGTCACCCTTATTTTTTTTAAAAAGGGGTGGGGAAATCTATAGTCCCCCACTGTGGTCTACAAACAGAAAGGACCTTACAGCTACACCACAGAAGCTGGTTAAACATCCTGAAACAACTGAGGATAAATCAATTTGGTGTGACCACAACCACTACTTTTAACCATGGCTTCGACTCTTTGGAGCAAGCTGTCTAAAAATTATATAAATAAATAAATATAATCAAAATTAAAAATTAATCCATGGCCTTGCTTTTCCGTTATTGATGCTCCTTATAATACAGTGGGTTAAGGTTTTTTAACAATGTAAAACAAGAACATTTTTGTGAAAGGCTTATATCATGACAGAGAGATACCAAATACAGAGTCGGATAATTCTTAAGATTCCAGGCAAACATACAGAGCATTTGTCGAGTTCTATCAGCGGTCAAATATTTCAGCAGAATCAGAAAGCCAGACAAAGCTTCTGAGTTCAAAAGAGTAAAGTAAGAGCTGATAGTGGTCTGTAACAAGCACACTTTGTAGCTCTTGGTTGTCCTGGACCTCAACATCAATGCTGACAACACCCCTCTAAGCAAAAAGGAGAAAAGGTGTCTGCATATTATGATTATAATCAAAGCAAGTAACCACATCACTGACAAGAAGGCAAAGAAATCCCCCATGTGATACTGCATGAACTCCTGCAATTCGCTCAGTTATATACAGCATATCGTACAGGCTTCACATGAACCAGACATGACACTGTTTATCGAAGCAATCACAATGGGGTGAGAAAGTTGGCAAACACTTTATTAACTATCTGCCATGAGCAAGTTGGAAATAAAAAGCTGGTTTTTCTGAGGAGTAACTATGAACTTACATAACCACAGAATACAAAAAATGTACAATGTATGTTCTTGTCTAGTTCGACAAAACAGAGTGATAAGAGCCAAAAAAGCATATGAAATGGGAAAAGTTCAATGAATTAAATCACCAATGGACAGTTTCAATTGAAGAAATTAGTAGGCTACTTCCTCATTAATTTAAACAATTTCAAGCAAATTCTTTGAAAACAAATGCCACCCCCCCCCCCCCTCCGATTTGAACAAAGTTCATCAATGCATCAACCGTACAATATATTTCCTGTGTTGAAAGCCACTTTCTGTTCACAAAAGTCAGTTGACTTCCCCTATTTGAATGACTTCTGCCAAATATACCAACTGTACACTAAATCCTCTGTAAACAGCATCCCAAGTCCAGACGCATTTGTACACGTGCATTTCACAACGTCTGCGTATTCAGCTCAACCCAGCAGGTGGCCTGCTTAAGAGCATTTCCTTAATTCGTGTGTAACACAGAAAAAAATCTGCCCACATTAAAGAAACATTTGCACATGAATATAAATGAAACGTGGCCGGTCCTCTTCCAACCACGGGAACCATCGCTACTGATTGGCAGCTTCGCAGGCATCGATCCATTCACTGTACACATCTACAGCTTCTGACAGATCTGAAAAACTGGTTAAGGAAAACAGGAGAGCAGCAAGAAAGCTGTAATCTCATTCTGGGTGAACAAAGAAATAAAAAACAATATCAATAATATAAACAAACTTGCAACCATGAACTGACAAAATTCTAAAAATATACCAAAAAATCGAATTGACAATCTGTTGTCGAGGAGTAAAGTGGCCGTCTTATATAGTGTCATTTTTAATGTTCACTATCAGAGTGTCTGCCCAAAAAGCCATGTTCTGAAAATTACCATTTCCCCCTGAGAAGGGACATAACCACAAAATTAAACTTTTTTCCAAATTGTCTACAAAAGTAACCATCCATAAAAAGAATATCAAAATAAACTGCAAAACACTTTAAAGTTTTAATTCAAACAGCAGCAGTCAATAATTTCATCCCATCATGATTTTCTAGTTGGTAAAGGATGGTCCACAGATCAGTTATTCCAGCTCTATCTTGTGTAACTCACCTCCCCCCCCTCCTCCAAAAAAAAATAATAGAAAAACACACAAAAGCCACACAAATAGATCAAGGGGTACAACTACGGAATTAAACATGCATTAAAAAGCATTTATCACTGCAACTGCCAAGACTGATCATGGGTCGGTAATTTGTTTGTTTTTTTAAAGTTAAAGAAAAGAAATCCAAACTGACAGAGATGCCGGTTTGGCATTTCTCATACGTCTAGTATCTTACACATTATTGTCATAATAATATAATAATCGTGTTCATCATCACTTACAGAAGAGACCAATATCTCCACTCAGAAGAAAAACCCAACCTCCTCCAATCACAAATGTCTCTGACTTCTCTTCCACATTCAAGATAGATGGGTATTTTAAAAATAAAAATCAAGGTAACCGGAACAAGTTTTAGGATAACGAATAACAGTAACAGTAACACCATATATGACCAAAAATTGACGAGTGCCTGATTCCCGTAGCTGTATTTCAAGTGCTCCAAAAGCTATTCCAAATATTTGCAAAAACTGGAAGGTCTTTCCAAACCAAAAAGCATGCTAAAAATAAAATTTGAATGAGATTTCCCTTATAATTCGTTGCCTGTCACACGAAAGGGCGTATTCCAGATAGCAGCACTAGCAGTAAAAAATCAAAAAGGGCGTACGCTAACACTCAGCGCCACCGAACCAGACAAAACGGCGTACACAGGCTTACGCCTTTTCGTGTGCAAAAAAATGATACAAAGTTTTATCAATTCTATTCGCACGAAAAGACGTATACCTTGGATACGCCCCTTCGTGTGAGTGACAGGAACACTTTTGTCCTTTTTTTTCTGGCATAGGCCAGGGCCGTATAACGTAATATCATAGTAATACTAGATTCTAGGCCCTCCTAATGATGCAATAAGCCTGATACACAACACAGAGCACACGCCTTACAGTGTGTTGCAGCGAATCCTGCTTGTACAAGAGTGAAAATGAGGCGGTCCTTATTGTTTTGTTAGCCTACAATTGGTCACTGTTGCTTGCAGCTTACTTCACACACAACGTGATCTGCTTGTCTGATGACTATTGGAAACCATTAGAAAAAGCAAACTTGGGTTTGATCAAATTTAAATCAGATCTGCTTTTTGTCCAACAATACACATGAATATTGCTCAGCTATTAGATTATTATATGTTTTTCCATTAACGTATTATTCTACACTCATTAACTAGAAGGCAACGCTATCTAGACACCCCCCCCCCCCAGGGCAGTGCTGCTGACTGAAGTGATAAAAACATCAGGACTTAGAATTTGTTGTATTGATCCGAAGACAGGTCTACCAGGTGAGCAATGTAAGTAGCCCCTAAATCTTTATATTTTACACACACACACACAAGAAACTCAAACCTAAATCGTTCTTTAGCTTGTACTCAGACTATCGGGATTTTTCTTGTGTTTTAGGCCCAGAATGGCAAGTTCGCATTTCAATGAAAGTGACTCCGACTTTGTCAGATGACATTCCGTTAGCTAAACTTTGAAATGTAAGCCTACAATGACAATTTAATTTCCTGATCAACACGAGGCTGAGAATGAAGACACGTCTCTTGGCCTGGGTGACTTCGATGATTCGGACACTGATCATTTCCGAGAAGTTCCAGTATTTTGTAGTCAAAAGGAAAGACAGGGCAATCAACAAACTCTGAATCCATAGTGCACAATGATTTTGAGACCGATGAAACCCACAGTAGCAATGAACGGCTACCAGAATCACTTGAAGTTGAAGGGTAAGCCCGCCAGGCGTCGCCAAAGAAACAAAGAGAATCAACTCGAAGAACGATGCAAAAAGAAAGCGACAATGTGGCGAATAGTACATGAGCGCCGACACGAAAAAGGTTGTTCCAGCACGAATGATGAGAGAGGGCTGCGTTGGAAAGGAATGTACGAGAGCTGGCCGTCAGTGTTCTGGAATCTCAGGAAAGGACAGGAGGGAGATATTTCAGGACTTTTTCAGGTCAGTTTATAAACTGGCTGACCTGCAGAAGCAACGAGAGTTCGTTGCGTGGCATATTGTGACGACAGAGCCCAAGGTCACGAAACCAAACTCTCGACGCAGCAAAACGCATGCTTATTACATCACGGTCAATGGAAAGCGCTTGAAAGTGTGTTGGAACACATTCCTTGCAACCTTGGGTATTTCAGAGAAATGTGCCCAAGTTGTTTTGTCAAAGATTACGGAGACCGGCATTGTGGAAGAAGACAAGCGAGGGGGCAATCGGAGCAGATGTAGACAAGAGAAGAACAAATCAGGGAGATGACCAGTCAACACATTGACAGATTTCTACGCGTGGAATCGCACAACTGTTGGGCCTCTTCCAGCAAAGAGTATCTCAACCCAGACCTCACATTGTCCAAAATGTACGACATGTGCGTGAAAAAAAATCCATGCAAGGACATCCCAGGTTTTCACACATTCAGACGAGTGTTCAAGACAAAAAAAACCTGGCCTTTCATAGTCCTTAAAAATGACTAATGCTCACTCTGCAACTCTTTCCGAAAAGGGGAAGAAGCACAGAAAAATGAACTCAGGGAAATTTATAACAGGCACGATGCAGAAAAACAAAGGGAAGGACAACTTAGGGAGGATTGCAAGAAGATGGTTCAAGCTGACCACAGCTTTCTGGCTGGGAACTTTGATCCCCAGCAGGTCATATACCTGCCAATTTCACATGAAAATGCTTTGTTCTACAAGAGGAGACTTTCCAGATAGACAGACAGACAGACAGACAGAGAGGTATGGGGAGGAGAAGAGAAAGGGAAAGGTTTGGTGGGTGGAAAGGGGGGGGGGGGTGAGGAGTGATGTCTTGGAGGAATTTTATCCTCTACTTTTACCTATTTTATAAATAAACCAGACCAAGGTTGGCTGCAAGTATGAAGCTATCAGGCTACAATGGTCGATCCAATGGTACAAGAGGGTTTGCCCAGTTGTTACCTTTGGGTAGAACAAGGTGGCAATGGGCTAATAGACATTAACCCACTAACCACTCCATCACCAAAAATAGGAGTTTTCTTTAGAACCCCCCCCCCCCCCCCCGGGTCGGAATTTAGGGTGGGGGGGAATCTGGAGTCTCTAATGGCAAATCAATAATCAATGTGTACGGTATTGCCAACATCTGCAATACAAAACTGTGTACTTTCATGTCATTCATGACAAATTGTCAACATATTGCACATAATCCTGTGTGTTTTCACATCATTTATAGTAATATATAGTAATAGGGGAGAATGACTGATGGAAATGGAATTCAAGATAAAAAGAAGGGAAAAAAAAGGATTTTTATGCAAAACAAAACATTTTCGATTAACAAAAACATTTATTTAAATCTAAAGGCTCAAATTTTATCAGACTATTTGGCAGATTTGGTTGTCAATTTTATAGGTTCGAGTTAGCAATTTAAAAAAAAATAGGAAACGATTTTTAGCATAAAAAAAGAAACATGTTGAACTCTTAGTTTTAGTACAGTTTTTTTGGTGCTCGCAACTGCATAAAAGGTCATATGAGCACCAAGGGATGGATGTCAACAGAGAAGTCCTTACAGGGAATCAGGCTTACTCTGCTCACCTCTCTAGCTTCAACAGCACAAAGTCTGCTTCGACTATCAAGGCACCCTGGAAATAGCAGATCACAATAGTGTGACAAACATACGAAAGAAGAAGAGGAAAAATGACGATAGCAAGGATAAGGAAAGAAAAAGCAGCAGTTCCATGTTGCAGTTCAGGCACAGGTATGAGCATGACCCATTTACAATTCTACTGTGCATCAGGATAAGATAATGTCCCGCCCTTTGGGAATGGCCTAAAGACAATTCAGTCAGTGGCACCTTGAACTCTACACATTCAACCCCTTTATTGATTTTTGCAGATATCTTCATTCGCAGATATTGAGAAGTAACTCATTTTGTCAGCGTGTTTCACAAATCACAAATAATTTTATTCAAAGACAAATAAGACTCTCATCAAAGACAAATTTTTTAACTGCTGGGGCATGCGTATGCTGAGCAGATGAGTATTTATAATATATGCATGTACACCCACTGAAGCATGTGCTCAGGTCTATAGCGTTAAAAAATACCAAAGGAGATATACACAACAGAAGAAAACATACAATTTTGAACATTCAATAAAGGATACAGTTGATATTTGTCTGAAAGTCTTCCAGGCACACATTACAGGTTATCATTCCTGTGTTAGCATCACGATCCCTGAAAATTAAAAAAAAAAAAATTAGCGTCCTAATTTAATACAACATTAGAAAAGATATATAGGGCACCAAAAAAGCCGAAAACATGCCCGCATAAAATTCTCGAAGTGGTGTCAGAGCCAAGTGGTTGCATTCACACATAAGCCTTAGACCAGAGTGTGATCCCTGCACATGCATCAATTAGGGTATGGCTGCCTATCTATAGTCTCTTGGATATTTTTACAAATTTTCCCCCAGCTCATGATGCTGAAGTTGACTTTCTCCTTCCAAAACACAGTGTGACACTGAGCCAAACGGCATGCACTGAGAGGCTATCAGACTGGGAAAAAGGCAACAACTTAAGGAGATAGATAAACGTAACAGGGTAACAAAGATTTTGTTAGTATGTTAGTGTTTCAGCGCCTATAAAATAGGAGCTTGCACTATTCCTTCCCAGGAGGTTGAGATTGTTTCAGAATGCTATCAGATCTGAACGGGTAAGTCTAGATAGTAAAGCGCATAGAGCTTGCTGTTGAGCGGGAATTTGCGCTACAAAAGCTATCAGTGAAAATGAATGATAAAGAAGGTAGTGACTGAAGATATCCTATTCATTGCACAGTAAGTAATAGTAAGTTCTGTTTCAGTTTGAAGAGAAACATTGACATGGTTATGTTCATTGTGCCCCGAGAAAAAGCATTTTATAACAAACGAAGGAACACCATGGGGATAATAAAGAAGTATGACCTACTAGTCGCAACGTCCAACAATTCGCTGAAGTCATCAAAGACAAAATAAGAGTGAAACACCCCACTAACAAGTACCAGTACAATGCGAATTTACCTTGGGTGGACCAAAAGTTATCTATTACTGCCAAGTGGCAAAAAATACAATTTTTATTAATGCATGTGGATTTTGAAGATCTATCTTTATAATTCCCCCCCCCCCCCAATCAAATGCAGTTTTAACATGAGCTACTACTCAAAAGAAAAAATAATCTAAAAAACACAAGAGTGCCTATTTAGGCAAGGAATTGAAATGAAAGACTAGAATGTTCAGAACAGACCATGTGGGTTTTCTTTTACTCACAATTTAACCTCGCATGACTTTTCGTGATTGCAGAATGGACAGTTGAACAAGGTATCCAGGGGTTCAATGGCCTTGCGCCTGGGTGGAGGTTTGCTTGCTTTCTTGCGACGACCCATTTAGAATTCTATAAATTTATAAAATCTGAAACAAAGAACAGGTATAATCAAATGAACATAAAAGAATAGTGCTTAAAAAATATAAGCTTTGTTCTAATTACAGAGTAAGCTTAGAAAAAACAAGGATAAAGGACACATGAGGACTTAATACAGCTGTTTGAATACTCAAACACAAGTAAGGACCTCTGTGCCAACTGCTACGGTGAGAAGAACAAAAAAACAACATGGAGGAAACAGCCTAATTGTTAGTAAGTAAACCAGTTGGGGCTGCTGAGGAACTTCTTTAAAAAAATTTGAGACAGATTGTCTGCGACATATCCTGTAACTATCATGTCATAGAGAGTGATAGAAATCTGTAGGTTGTTCGCGCCTGACAGGCTGCGTTTTTCCTGCTCTGTAATGTTTAGTTTGTGTCTTTTTCGTATCTTGTGAATGGATTGTGGCTTTTCAAGTTGGCTTACAGGATAAATAAAAAACATTTGTGCTTTTTGTGTTATTTTTATTAGTGCTTGATCGCAAATTACCAACTATTTGCAAGAAATATATTTTGTTATGGAAGTTCTACACACATTAGATTGGGTGATTACGGACAGTGTCAATAAAATCGGTGAAATTCAAGTAAAGAACAAATGCGTTTCTGATCACTACGCGGTGTCCTTTGAAATAACTCGTATAGGGAAGCCCAAACTGAGACACCACAAAATAACAATCCGGAAAATGGACATGGATCATGAAAAGTTTGGAGCGGACATTCGCCAGCTACTAAAATTCATACACGGTTCAACCTCCGAGAAGGTAGACACTTTCAACACCAAGATGTGTGAACTACTAAACCAACATACACCAGTCAAATCCAGAACAGTAACTGATCGACCTTCTGCCCCGTGGATGACTTTGGAAATTAAACAATCTAAAATGGAACGTAGACGAGCTGAAAGACGCTGGAGATCATCAAAGCTGAAAATTCATGAGGACATTTATAGACACTGTAACAACATAGTGAAATCGTTCATAACATCTGCCAAATTTATGTATTATAACAGAAAAATTAATGAATGTACCACGTCTAAAGCTAACAAATCAGTTGTCTGGTAAGAAAGATCAGGCCAGCAACAAGTTTCCCACTAATGTACCTAAAAGTAACCTTCCTGATGTTTTGGTAAATACTTTAGAGACAAGATATCCACGATTAGGAAACAAATTGACACGACTACCCATAAACTACCATCTTTTGAAACATTTTCTGGGGTAATCTTTAATGAATTTGTATGTGTAAAACAAGAAGATGAAAGATCAATCATAATGTCATCACCCCATAAAACATATATAGTCTTGATCCCATTCCAACACCACTGCTCATCACAATCTTTATAGTGTCATTGGATTTATAACTTCCATCATTAATGAGTCTCTTCAGTCTGGAGTAGTACCATCACTCTTTAAGCATGCTTTAGTTTTATTCCCTTTCTCAAAAAATCAAATCTTTCCCCAGAGGAGCTCAAGAATTTCAGACCTGTCTCCAACCTTCCCTTTTTATCAAAAATTTTGGAGAAAGTTGTTTTGGTTCAATTGAAAAATCATTTAAAAGAAAACAATTAATATGAATTATATCAATCTGCCTATCGGCAATTTCATAAAACAGAAACTGCGCTATTGAAAATATATAACGACCTCTTGTGTGAGGCGGATGAGAACAAAATATCAATTCTTTCTCTTCTTGATCTTAGTGCTGCCTTTGACACTATAGATCACACTATTCTTATTGAACGATTGTTCAACATGTTTGGCCTGTCTGGCAGGGTTCTTGACTGGTTCAGGTTTTACCTGATTGGCCGTACACAATCTGTGGTTGTGCACGACTCTTTTTCATCAATTTTTAAGCTGGACTTTGGAGTGCCTCAAGGTTCAGTATTGGGTCCAATCTTGTATACGTTATATACACAGCCGCTTGGAGATGTGATTAGAAAGCACAATATGAATTATCACATGTACGCTGACGATACACAGTTATATAAATCTGTTCCACCATCAGATGTTAAAACACTGCTTACTACCATGGGTCTGTGCATTGATGACATCAAAAAGTGGATGGTTGATAATAAGCTCCAGCTTAATGAAAATAAAACTGAAATTCTTTTATGTAACCCAAAGAAAAGCCATATCCCCGTAGACATTGATCATATTTGTACTGAAAATGAAAAACTGTATTTTACTAACAAAGCAAAAAATCTGGGAGTGTATTTTGATTCAAAATTGTCCATGGAACATCATATCAATTATTTAAGTACCATTTTATTTTGTGAATTGCGTAAAATTGGTCATATGTCTATGTTTTTGAATGAACACTCGTTGAAAACGCTCGTGTTATCTTTCTTGTTTTCACGCCTCGATTATTGCAATGCTTTACTAGCTAACTTACCAAATACCACTCTTCACAAGTTACGCTTTCAAAATCATGCTGCTAGGCTTGTACTAAAGAAAAGAAGAGGGACCACATCACTCCCATGTTAAGAACGTTGCATTGGCAGCCATGTCAGCTAGAATGTCATATAAAATTGCAATATTATGTCATAAATGTGTCAATAACAAAGCTCCCTCATATCTTAGTGATCTCATCCAGATTTCTGTTCCATCTAGATCACTAAGATCAGGCGATCAGTATCTTTTAAGAGTTCCGAAAAGGGGGGAAAAAATTAGCTGAAAGATCGTTCGCCCACCTTGCTCCGTCAGTTTGGAACTCTCTTCCCCAAACCTTGAGACATACGACATCTGGGTCTAAATTTTAAAAATCTTTAAAGACACATTTAATTTAATGACATCCTTTTTATGTCAGTAGATTCATGTTCAATACAATGTTTTGTAAATGACTATGTATCCATTTATGTATTTTGTGAATTGCAGATTCAGCAACCGTTAGTGGGCGGATCCGGTTGACGATGTCGGAGGAGAAACGTGTGAGAACATGTGGCGCAGCAGAGATTTTGGTAAAGCGGAGACTTGGGACACTGAAGACTCTCATAGAGGAATTAGGGATAACAGTCCAGGTCCGACTCGTGCCTTCAAAGAGACAAAGTTGTAAATGGACCTGCATTTTATTATCCGAATCATTGAAGAGATCGAAGTCCGGAATATCTAGGCATCGGATGAGGACTTTTACCGCAGGAACAGGCACAGGGTTCTCACTATTATATTATATTAGTATTACTTGATCCCAGCCGCTGTTTCTTTTTAGGGGGAGGCAGTGGAGGGAGACCAGAAGTGGATGATTGATCAGCAGGTTCCTGATTTTCTTGATTACATGTCGTAGGCTTATTTTTGCTCCTTTTCTTTTGAGGGGGAGGCAGCGGAGGGAGACCAGAAGTGGAGGATGGACCAGCAGGTTCCTGGTTTTCTGAATTAGTCGTATAATAAACAGAAAAGTGGACCAGGAACATTTTATAGTTTGCTCTGCCCAAGAACTTTACTTTATAGTGGACCCACATTGCCAGCCTAGGCTAGGCCTAAAGTAAGAGGTACCATGAGACTAATGAGAGACAATAGAGGCACAGGTGAAGTTTACCAGACCAGTGAAAAAAGGGGGAGACATGGTGGAGGTATCTAGATTCGTTTCTAATCTAACGTGTACTGTAGCTAGGCTGTCTTCTCAATTCAGTTCAGACCTTTTCTTCTCTTTGCTTACTTGGGCCAAGACTTGACTTGACCGTAGCCTAGATTCTAGAAGAAATGGAGAATCGGGAAGGATTTTTACCTGTCCTGTACCGTGGTCTCAAAAATCCGTATTAGATCTAGATCTAATGTACATGATGAATAACAAGCAAGCATAGAATGACCATTCCTTTCTTTTAAAAAAAATTCTTCCACTCACACCAGAATCTACTCTTAAATATCTAGATCTACATTAGATAAAGAAAAATACATGTGTATTTAGTAACCCATCATCATCATGCCCATGTAGATCATAGTGGGAACAATTATAGATCTAGACATCTAATGGGCCTGTCTGTTCTCAGTGTCATTGGGAATAGTTTCTTGGCCTCATCCCAGTGACACTGGGAACAATTCTGGCCTATTCCCAGTGCTTTCCAAAATTAAAACCTTTAGCCTAAAACTAAAAGTGGGATATCTGGGTGTGACAAATGAGGTACCAAATCAACTTTATGTAGTAACTCTGTAGTAATACATGTATCATATTATTTATGGCCGAATGATTGCAGTTTTACTTTTAGGGACTGCGTGTTCACAAATGACCCCCCTCCCCCCCTTCAAGTTGCCGTCAACCAAAATGTACACATGTGTACATTTAGATAGAACCTGTACAGGGTGCATTTGCACATTTGATCTTTTTTTAAAAAAATTGTTTATTAATTTAAAGAATACAATAATGGTGGCGCTGCCCCTGCTTGCACTGGTACGTATGCAGCACTCAAGGGGTCTGGCCAATTTTGGTGGATCGTGTCACCACAAATTTGGTGTTATTAGTACTTTCATACACTCTTTCAGAGCCTCTGTGAACTCTGAAAAGCTCTTGAACTTGGCTCCCACTTCCATGCTGAATAGATCTAGAAAAACTAGAACTAGATCTAGAGTCTAGGTGTTGAGTAATTTCAGATTTGCGATGCAATAGCCTTGGGGCCAACAGAACGCTACTGGCAAGGTTCCCCCAGGGCTCTGTTTTGAAAAATGAAAATGCCACGCAGGTAAGCTTATTATAGAATCTATAGGCCAAGACCGCCTAGTTTTGCGGACTCTCGCAGCATTTACCAATCTCGTGCAGCGATCTAGCACAGCGTTCGCAGAGCGCAACGATCTCGCGCAGCGTGCAGGTCGGGTCGACCCTGTGCGAATATAATTAGGCCGGCACTATTTCTCCGAACGTTCGGGAAAATAAAGCTAGATCTAGGCACTATTTCTCCGAACGTTCAGGAAAATAAAGCTGGGCACTATTTCTCTGAACACTCTGAAATCACATCCTTTCCGCAAATTTTCGATACTATATAGATCTATAATTATAGTATAGGCCTACCAAAGATTGTTCGTATACAATGTATGGTTCAATCGGTCCAAAAAATGTCCGCAGTAAATATTTAAAGAAACGCTACAGCTCCAAACAGTTTTTCGCTACAGATATGACGTGTTGTCTATGAAGGGTGCTGCTCTTAAACTTAATGTGTTGTGTTCACTCATGTGCTGTCTAGTCTAGGTCTACGGAGGGTTATTGATTAAGACACACATAGAACTAGCATAGATATCTGCGTTTGTCGCGGCCGCGACCAATCAATCGTGGCTCGATTTTTTGGCATTTTTTGGCCCCCAAATCGGAGAATAAAAGTCAAATATAAAAAAAAACAAAAAAAGAAAGAAACCGAACCTCTTTACTTTTGAAAGAAAGTTCACCTAGCTTCACTTCGTCTTTTTCTCACTTGTTGGCACCACGTTGATTTACTTTTATTTTTCCCTCTTTGTGGTGTTTTATTTTGTTAGTGTGTATTTTTTTCTTTCTTGTTATTGTTCTGATGTGTTGTTTTTCTATCAATTTTTTTCCGAGGCCATTTTTTTTTAATGGGAAAAAGGGGGGGGGGGGGGGGGTGTGTGTGTTATATGGCCGTCGTTATTCGGACTCAAGTCCGAATAACATTTTTTCATATTCGGACTGGAGTCCGAATAAAAAAAATTCTTATTTGGACTCGAGCCCGAATATGAAATGTTTTTATTCGGACTCGGGTCCGGAAAAAAGGAAGTGTCTTCGTTCTATAGATCTAACTTTCAGTGCTTCCAATTTTCCGCCATTATTTAGTTTCCCCCACACCTTATCTGCCGGTCTTATGCCCGCCGCCTCATTGATACGCCCCCCAACCACGTTTCCCACTTTCTTTGTTGTAGAAAAAGGTAAAATTGAAGATTAGCAGACCACCTGGCACCTGCATATTATGAGCTGTGTAAAAAAAAAAAAGACCGATTCGTTCAAACGTTCAAATACACAAGCCTGTGTCATATCGATTGTTTACCAATAAAAAGTTGTGTTGCTGTGTAGAGCTGAGCATACGGCAACTTTTGATTCCATAGACCAGCGCGCAATTCATTACGTAGATCTACGTCAAGACTAGCTTATTATTGTAATAATGATCAGTTGCCGGGGGGGGGGGGGGGGGGAGGAGACTGTGTGCGTATGCGACGTTCAAAGCCCGGACGGATAGTGCCCTCCACCACCCTCCCCGACACGCACACAGCCACACGTATGCAGGCCGCCCATCCAACCCTGACACATGCTAACGAGCCATCTTTAATTGCTTCTGATGACCTCTTGACAAATAAACATTTATTAGAAGCGCTATAACTTTTCAGGCCGGCCTCAAATTCATCATAAGATTAAAACTCGGCTCCTGCACAAAACGCCTTTTTGCCCGAAGTGATCCCGGTCTCTACCCAGCCTGAGGCGAGTCACGAGTGAGGCAGGACAGGAAGCTGGATTCACGAGTTACAGGAAGTCGGAAGTGATGTCATGCTGGACAAGAATCAGAGTCCGAATAACATTTTTTCCTTCCTTCATTTGATTCTAAATATATATATATATATATATATGCATATGTATAAATATCTAGATTTAAATGTGTTATGTTCTAGAGCGTACGTTCCATCAAAACCGATCACATGTACTGACACTGGCAGGCCCCTTAAATGTGTGCGATTCCATAATTTACATGTAATATCCTGTACTTTGTTTTAAAATTACGCACATTTAGTGTTAAAATAGCCAATCTTCTTCGGACAGGTGGACTCATGCCCTTATTTGTTAATTTTTGTGGGCTGTTCTAATTTTGATTTCATTCTGTTGTGAAAGCTTTCTTTTTCTCGTTTTTACACTCATCTAAAAATCTCTAGACTAGCCAGGCTAGCTCTTGAAAATTGAAATAGATATAGATCTAGATCTAAAAATTTGCTCCTGTGTGTGTGTATGCATGTGCGTGTTTGAGTGTGTCTGTGTGTGGTAGTAAAGTAAAGTGTGTAAGTGGAGAGTGAGGAGCGTGCGTGTGTTTGTTTTTCGGGCTTTATTCAGTAACAGTTCAAAAAGTATACAAAAATAGAAACACAGGATCCATTCACTCCAGGGCTCATGAGTCGTTCCTCTCAGTTTCACTCATTCATTCAATTCCCGTGTTCTCTCCCGCGGCTCATCGCCGTCCGCATGACTTTCACTCCCCACCCCCTCCCTCAAACTCAAGGCACACACAAAGAAAATCTCTCACATTCCCTTGCTCCCTGCGAACCATGGACAATAATATAGAGGCAAAACACTGCCTTAGCCGCATTCCTTTCGTTCGTGAGCTGTGGACCAGGCCAGGGGGGTCGGTGTCGTCGTCTTGTAGTTGCTGTCGCCTGTGGATACACTCGTACTCTTCCTTTCACCTGCTCTTTCACTCATACTGTCTCTTCATTCACAGCTCAGGTCGTCATACGTTCTTCAAAAGTTGCCCTCTGATCATGTTTAGTTAGTGTGTGTATAAGTTTGTGTGTGTACATGTGCATGATGGTGGTGGGTGTGTGGTGGGTGTTACTGAAGGTTGTCTGTAGGCGGGCTTGCCATGCAGTGTTCCTTCCCAATCCCAGACCAGAGGCAGAATGAAAGTTGGCGCCGAACTCACAATAAATAGGCAAAAAATCACGAGACTGGAAGCCGGAAACCGTTCGGAGAAATAGTCACTTCGATGTATAATTAAGGGGCGCTTTTTCGGTAGTTCCCACCCCCCTTATTTGATAGAGCCTGACCTACATCTAGATCTATATACGTTTGATTCGCGGCAAGCTAAGATGTCAAACCTAACAACTGCAAAACATTAAATTGTGGTAAAATTCAGGGCATGCCCCCCTGAAACCCCCCACCTTGTTTTTATTAGGTCAGGGGGGCAAGCCCCCCTGAAACCCCCCTACTCTTGGGGCCAAAACCGGCGAATAACAAATGCGGGGTGGGAACTACCGAAAAAGCGCCAATTAAGGCTGATAATAAAGGCTGAAATAAAGCCCGAAAAACAAACACAACAAACACGCACGTTCCTCACTCACTCTCCACTTACACACTTAACTTACTTAAGATTACTACCACACACAGATACACTCACACATGCACATGCATACACACACACACACACACACACAGAATCTAGAGATCTAATTGCCTAGATCTAGATATCTATCTAGATAATCTAGAGCTAGAATCTAGATTAGATCTCTAGATCTATAGTAAAGTCCATTATTATTGTCATGGAGTCGCAAGGCAAGGCCAAGCCAAAGTGTTCCCCACCACCTGACTGAATTAGAATCTAGATTCTAGATAAGGCCAAGGCTTTACGAAAGTTAATGACGACTGACTACTTACCAAAATGCAAATATCAAGAAAAAGAGTCACTATTTTGAATGTCCGCAGCGCTATAAACGCTGAATAAACTTCTTCAACTGTTCAGAAGCACGCAGTATGTTCACAGATGAAATTTCGGGCTGTTTCAGTTTGGGCAACACCGATGCAACGCAAGAAGCGTCAACAAATTGTGACAAGCGTGCTCTTTCTTGTCCAGGATGCTCGTTGGAGTCAAGGATAGTTAATGAAGGAAAGCGTATCAATTATGTCTGATGTTAATTCCGAGATGATGTTTCCAAAAATGATATGAATTTATAGTTTTGCTTTTTAAAATTGATTTTTGCATTGTTATAAACTGATGCACTTGAACTAATTTAAAGTTTTATGGAGTATCAACATAAGGAATTCCATTATGGTTTTCTAACCATAATGTACTTTTTCTAACTACTTGTAGCCAATGTGGCATACGGATCTTTTGTGTCTTCCGTTTAAAAAAGTATTAGGCCTAGTCACAGAATTCTACACTTATAGAACGGGAACTGTACCACGTGACCTGTGAGGAATTGAAGACCGAAAACAATGGCGTCGTGAGGGCACTATTTATCGTTTTCGGAAGTAACCCTATAGCTTTTAAAGCAAGAGCGGCTTTTACAAACGAGTGAAAAGTGGAACATTTACTGTCCAGTTTGTAATTTTGAGTTACAGAATTCACTGTGCAACTAGAGATTGGAATTAAGGTTTTAAATTGTTGTGTTTTGGAGTGCAACAACAGAAAAAGCAGACATACAGAGTTTATATAGATATGAATAAGATCTACAGAACTGAAAAAAATTCATAGCACTTCTAGCTTCCCACACACATTTTGCATACGCATATGGCCTACGTAGTTTTTTAGTAGTAAAACTTATTACAAGAAATTTGTTTTACACTGAACATATTTTTTCACTAGATCTTATTAATGTTCTCAAAACATGCGTTCAATAATTAACTTTATGTCGCCAGCAGAAGTAGAAAAAAGGACGGACTTGCTTTTAAAAGAGATTTAGCTCCAGCTATAAACTTTTTAAAAATCTGTAGAAACCATTGACTGGGATTTTTTTTTTATATATTGGGCTAGTATTTATTAAAGAATTTTCTTTAAAGAAATTTCTAGAATAATATAGAACCTATAGATGTGTACAAATGTTTGAAAAAAATACTCATCGGTTAAGACGAATTGATATAGATCTAAGTCATTGTGTAAAAGTAGGAGAATCTAGATCTAGGTGTTTGATAGTTCAGTAGCCTAGATATTTGATAATAAGTTGCGCATCAAATTTTTGACCGCATGCTACAGTAGTGAAGATAGCGTATTATTTTCATCCGAAACATTAATTTCCGCATCCATACACCTTTTTGAGCCTTTATAAGCACATGTAGTCCTACTTTAATTATGTTTTTGTTTTTGAAAGCATTTTCAATTCCTTTCACTTTCACTTCCCACGCGCGGCACATATAATTATGATTATAATTTAAGATTCCAAATCTGACGAATGTATTATTAAATAGCGTATAATGCTGAGTTAGCCAATGCATTGCAATGCGCACTATTATCAATTGATCGAATTGTAACAAGACTTCAATTTGATCCGTAACAAGAGACCACTTATTTTTTTATACGTGTTCATGAATGTGTGTTTGTTTACTGTGTGCGGGGATTAAAAATTAAAGATTAAAGATTCCAGATCTGACGAATGTATTTATAAAATAGCGTAATAGCGTTGGGTTAGCCGATGCCTTGCGATACTTGCTTTTATCAATTAATGATTTGTAACAGGACTTCGATTTGATCCGTAACAAGACAACACTTATTTGTTCTTATACGTGTTTAAAAATGTGTGTTTGTTTACTGTGTGCGGGCATTAAAGATTCCAGGTCTGACGAATGTATTTATTAAATAGCATATAGGCCTATAGGGCAGGGGTGGCCAACGCATTGCGATACGCACTTTTATCAATTGATCGAATTGTAACAAGACTAAGTGTAGAATTCTGTGGGCCTAGTAGATCTCTACCAGTCTACCAGCCAAGGAGATTAAAAGTAGTTCTAAACTCCTTGCTACCAGCACAGAATTCTGTGATTACCAGAGACCACAGATGTACACTATAGGCACAATGGAAAGCAATAGATCTATATACCAGAGACTCTTAAATAAAATTAAATACTCTCTGTATATACTTTAAAAGGCATGATGTGGGGGGAAGGCCATGGTCAAATTACGTCATTTTTGAGTCTCAGACACAGAATTCTACACTAAGTGTAGAATTCTGTGGTCTCAGATAAAAATTTGGCTGTTAATCTAGACGGTCATATAATTTATGATCACCTAGCTGTTAACGGATTCGAGTACTTTGAATGTCTGCTTTCCCAAAATAAAGGTCAAATGTCCCTATCAATAGCAGAACGTGTTCAAAAACACTCACAAAGATGACACCCCCTTTCCTCTAAGTGGAAAAAACCGCATTTCTTACCTGCGAAATTAGAGATCACACAAAATGATGTATAACATGACTGATTTCTGAGCGTGTGGAGAGCTTTATGCCCATTTCATAAAAGGATATTTTAGGGCCAAAAAAAGCGGTTTTTTCCACTTAGAGGGAAGGGGGTGTCATCTTTGTGAGTGTTTTTGAACACGTTCTGCTATTGATAGGGACGGTAAGATTGAAGAATACCGGACCAGTGGACTGACATTGCCTATGTCTCAACCTTAGGAATTCATGATTTTCCCGAGTTTTTATCTCTCAATGGAAAACCTCGGACCGGTAGATCTAATCATTAAAAATTTCGTCAGGGGGGCCCCCTGAACCCCCCTCCTTCACCCGCGCACCCACCCCACATTCTCGCGCAATAATGCATACGAGTGGTCCGGTGTTCTTCAATCTTCCCATTTCGCAAAATGGCTATTCAAAAGCAGTTCGGACTTAATCATTGATGTAAATAAGTTATACAAGTAATGTCTGTTTCCATTGGTAAGTTTCCATTATTATTTAGCTGAGAATGATGTGTCGTCATGATCTATATATGCAACTAGATTACTGCGCGCGTGCATGTGCTGTTTAAAACATGTTTAACTAAGTTCAAATTCAAGTTAATCAGCATTTTGTGAATGAACTCCCCTTATAGTGCATGAGCACTTGAACATGCCAGAACTGGTCAAATACCGAAGATTTCGGCCAAAGCCAAGGAAATTAAAAGTAAACATTTAGTTCTAAACTCCTTGGCCAAAGCCTACTCTCATGGCGCTGAAATGGGGATCGTCCTCCCGCGTCCTACGGCCCTCAACGAGAGCTCGGTAAGAGCTTCCGAATTTCCGGATAAATCAGGAAATCCAATTCATGAAAAAGGCCGAATTTTGCACGCTGGCCGATCGTTGAGAAGCTGTTGCACATAAAAAAATAAAATAAATAACAGTCTTGACAAGAGATATATATGAGAAAACTGTTTCGTAAATTTTAAGCCCCCGTGTACTTGATTTCACGGAGTCGGAAAAGTTCAGGACTTTTTTTTTGGAAGCCAGTTAGCACAACTGCTCGATACAGCCAATCTACGTTATCCTCTGGCCTTGACCGGGGCGACGGCGCAAAAAAAAAAAAAAAAAAAATCATACAGAAAACACCATCTTTTTGTTTTATGGTGACAAACGTCTTGTGTGGGACGCCATGTATTCGGATTCAGTCTCCCCGCCGCCAGCCAACTCTTCAGCTTTTGCCCTCGACAGTGCTGCGTAGAGTCGAAGAAACCAAGTCGTTTTTCGAAACAATATCCATCGCCGAAGGAACGCTTTTTCAATATTGGCAGTATACGAAAGTCTGACTCAGCAATCGTAACCCAACAGTAAACCCATTCCCACAAGCCATTGTCTCCACTCACTGACCAGCCAAAAACCCTCCCACACGACACGCCCTAGTTTGGGCGAGCCTAGAAGTCTCCCTCAAGTATCTGAATAGGGTTGTACCGTGAATGCAGAAAAGTTACGCAAAACTTCCGTTCTAACTTATCCTAAGTACGTATTTTAGTATTCGGCTGTGAATACAAAAAAAAACATAGCAGCGGTTTGAACAGAGTTCTTGCATATCATGCACGAAAAATCTTGAACAGCGTGGAGATAAACATTTTACGAAAACGACCGAACGAGTTCTGTATCGTCGTTGTAAACTTAGAGGGATCAATTGTGGAAGAAAAAGACTAGAAAAAAACTACCAGCTGATGACTTAGATCAACCTTCCCTAAGCCTGAGAGACAACAGGGAAAACATTGATGAGCAACCGAATGCTGAGAGTGAGACACCAGCGTGGATGGAAAGTAAGTGGAAGGATAATATCACATTGAATTTTCCAACCCCCTCTCTTTCTCTCCCCCCCCCTCTCTCTCTCTCTCTCTCTCTCTCTCTCTCTCTCTCTCTCTCTCTCTCTCTCTCTCTCTCTCTCTCTCTCTCTCTCTGTGCGTGTGTGTGTGTGTGTGTGTGTGTGTGTGTGTGTGTGTGTGTGTGTGTGTCTGCACGCGCGCGCGAGCGCTCGCATGCATGTGTGCGTGTTATGTCTTTGGCCCAGAACCAGATATTCATTCTTTCATTCAAGATATTTGCAAGCGTATTTTATATAATGTATGCATTTTTATACAGATAAAGAGATAAGGAAAGTTGATAGGAAGGTTATCTTTTAAAAAAAAATTCTCGCAACTACGAGACGAGAACTGAAAATGAAAGCTCTCAATATTATCGCCAGGTCTCCTTATCTGAGAAACTCATTATTGGTCAATGTTCCCTTTACAGTCTTATTTTGTTCTACACCAAAACTGTGTTTGTGTTTATATTTATAGACAGACAGACAGACAGACAGACAGACAGACAGACAGACAGACAGACAGACAGATATTTTAGATCAATCCTTATCGTCAATTCATTCTTTTGTTTCAGCCTCCTAACCGCCTCCTTCAATGATATTTGCCGATGCTGATGCTGATGCTAGCTTCAAATCAACGAGATGAGAGTCCTGTTTCGGTACTACCCCAGTTTCAACAGTTATCGAGCTCAGAATATGCTTTTTTGAACACTTTTCCAAAATACTTTGATGCCCTAGCCTCAATTTCTCAAGATTACCACAGCCTACTGCAATGGCTTCGACATTCTTGAGCACATCACACGACAGTTCATTGATAGGCACCTGAGGTTTAGGTATAGTGAGGAACATATCGTGACAGTGA